CCCTGGTGTGGACGTATCATTATTGGACACTGAATCTTTAGGAATGAGTGCTAGGCCAGTTTCATTTCACCATTAATTAATATCCTAATATCCTTGAATAACAAAGTAAAGAAAGAGCCAAGCAAAATTTTTGGAGTTTTTGAGTGTAGGATGGGAATAATTTTTAAAATTTGTAAAATAGGTAGCTTGTATAACCGTGATAAACTTTTAATTTAATTTTAAATTATTAACAAAACAAAACTTAAACCTTCCACCTAATTAACTCTACTAATAAAAGAGAGGTTTATGTTCCCTGACTGATTTTGATTTCATAAAGTTATCAATCCTTGTATCAATCTGGCATATTCAAAAATTTTTTAGCTAAAAACTATAAATCATAAAATTAACTTTAATTCCAGTTTGTTAATTCATCATTTTTTAAAGGTTATTCTTGGAGATAAAAAGCTTATTAATGATGGGGCTAATGAAATGCAAAGACAACTTTTAGATTTATCATCTAATGGCTTTTATTTCCGAAAATTATTAGTTGTTGGGAAATCCAGATATTTATTTCGGAACACAAGTGGTTTTGTTTTGAGCGGTGTACGTTATCTACGTGCTTATTATTGCGTTCAGGTATATTCTAAAGGGGGAAACGAGTTGTTGATATGCAGATATTTTTTAGAAATTAGCCAAAATGATCCAAGATAAATATAGACAACAAAGTTCTGATACAAGTTCATATGTAAATTATACAATTACAGGAGTTTGGATTCACAATGAGGTAATAAAAATAAAAAATATTTTTTCATTAACCCCACATATTAAATAAATATTTATTTAAAGGAAATTGTGGATGCTATGAAAAGAGTTGTATCTCAAAAGGATAATCTGTTAAATTATCATTCGATTAAAGAATTGAATGATATGAGAAAAAATATAACAGATGGGATAGAAAAAGTGGCGACATTAGAAAATGTTGCAAATAAAAAATATGGAAGGGGTAATTTATCACACCCATTAATCTTTTAATGCTTTTTTAAAAATATCTGATAACTAGGGCGTGTCAAACATGCACGGAAAATCCCAAAATATGCGCATATATACATATGCACCGAAAAAGCCATACTGATAAAATACAAATTGACAAAAAGTTACTAAAAATATTTTGAATTTTTGTTAGGCTCATCAATGGCATTGGTGGGATATTTTGCTTTGAATAAAAATCAGTTTAATGACAGATATAGCAAGTGTAATAGAAACGGCGAACAATGTATCTCTTTCTTTCATATCAGTGCACACAATGATACTAGGTAAAAAATATTCTTAAAAAGCAATAATGAAACTTTAAATTGTTAATTATTTAATTTGGTTGATTTACATTTTAATTTTTGGCTTAATTTAAATTTTAAGGTAATACATAACCCAATTGCTAAATTATTATATTATTTTTCAGAAAATTTATTGAAAAAAAGGAAATTAGTAAAATGAAATAAACAACGGGAAAATTTCTAATCTCTTTTAGGATTAATTTCTCCCAATTAAATATTTTTGCTAAGATAAAGATTAAATATAGTTAAACACTATGATTAGTATCTTTGAATTTAGAATAGTATAAAAATGAATTTATATTCAGATTTGAAATATTAGACGATGATTTAGATCAAGAAAAATTAAAAGAAAATTAGTTTATATTACTGAATGTATAATTTAAAATTTTTTAATAAAATATAATTACTTTTACTTCAACAGTTATAAAATTGAAATAGTTTTAATTTAAAAAATATGTAAATTTTGTGTATATTCGTTGGTGAGAGTTAGGAGTACAGCTGTTTTACGAAAACTAGTAATTCCAAAGTTCAAAGAATCGGGAACAGCCGGCACTATTCATGGTTATACGAAACAAAAAAATTGAACATTTTAAAGATTCATTATTATAACTACAGTAATTAATTTATTCCTTTAATATAAAAATAAATAATACATTTATTATCTCCACTACATCTGTTAAATTCTTTTTGATTTTTAAATTTGTCGAAAACAATGTAGCCAAAAATTGCCATTGAAGAACTTCTTTTCTCTTTAAAAAATAATTATTTTTATAAAAGTTTACAAAATGAATTAATGTTTTTACAATTATATCTTACTATTACTCCTGTGGATGGGAGGATCTCTAATAGCTAAGAATCTCTCATCCGCTCTAGTTTAGAGGAAACTAAGTCTTCTTTACTACTTGGGAAAAATACCTCCATTCAAACTTTCCAACTTTGCGACATTTAATATTCCATTAAATATATCCTCTCTGAAAGTACTATTTAATGATTTATCTTTAATAAGCATGTTCTTAGAGCGTGTCACATTTTTCATGCTTTCTTTAATTTTGGGCTAAAATCAAAATTTTTAAATGACTTATAAATTATTATTCTGTTTACATCATTTTGAATCCAAATCCCAGCAATTGTATAATTTATAGAAGCTTCTCTCGTTTTAGGCTCACTTTGGTATATTTTAAGCATATTAAGAGTGAGCTTCTGTTTAAAAATTAATGGACACAAATAATACTTTGTTAATATGTATAGCTATACCTTAACACAATAAATTGCCCTAGCATATCTTACTTCGCGGGAAATAAATCCACTTGTTTTTGTAAATTGATTTTTATTCCTTTGAAATAATTTGCGAAATACTGCACCATTTTTAGTAGCTTCCAAAAGTTGATTATATAATTCACTGTTGCCTTCCATAATAAGGTCTTCGTTGAAGAGGAATTCCTGGAATATTAGTTAAATACTGCGATTAAGACCTTCCAGCGATTTTATTGAACCCTTATTACTTTTTAACCTTATTAACCCTTATTCTAATAGGTAGCCAAGCACCAATATAGCCAGAAAACAATATAGTCATAAGCTTTATCATAACAAAATTCAAGACAAAAAACTTATCAAAGTTTAATGAAATATTTTTTATTTAATTGTTTTAAATTTATAATTAAAGATCGGACCGAAAAAGAATCCAATTTTAGGTCACAGATTTTCATATTATCTATAAATCAACCTTTATGTCTTTTGATAATTTTAACTTACAGATGCGACATTATTTTTATTCCGATCCACTTCATATAGACCTAATTCCACACCATTCATCTCTAAATTTTCCTTCTTGTTTTTAAATTTTTTAACAATACAGTCATAATTTATTTTAAAACACTTATTTATTTCATATTTCGCTTTTTCTATAGCATCTTGAAGTTCAATTTCTTCCATTTCTTCGTTTTTGTTTTGTGGTTCTATTTGTTTGATTTCACATAATTTATTTAGTTCTTCTTTTGATAATGTAAAAACCTCGTCTAGATGACGTACTAAATTTAGGATTTCTTCTCTTTAAAGGAATAGTCCCCATATTTACTAAAACTGTTGACTTTTATATCCCGGAGTTATATAGTAGTTTTATTAAGGGAGTTAATAAAGTCAAGCGAATAAGGAAAGGCATTGGCTAAGAAAAGCTATATTTATGTAGGTTCTAACTAAATTTTACAGTCGAGTAACTTTAAAATGTATATAGATCAGGGATGTCACGGGTTACCCGAAACCCGATACCCGAAACCCGAAACCCGGCCTTTTTTTCGACCCGATACCCGAAACCCGATCCGAGAAATTTTCTAAAACCCGACCCGAAACCCGACCCGAGAATTTTTATTTTTCAAAACCCGACCCGAAACCCGACCCGAGTTTTCTCAAAATTTTCGCCCGCGTCGCAGAAAAAGGGAAGATTTTTAGCTTAATGATCTTCCAAAATTCTGAAAATTTTCGCCTGCGGCGCTGAAAAAGGATAAAATCTGGCTTCGGACCTTCCATAATTCTCAAAATTTTCGCCTGCGGCGCTGAGAAGGGAAGATTTTTGGCTTTTTGGCCTTCCAAAATTCTCACTTTTTTCGACCCGAAACCCGAAACCCGATCCGAAGAAAATTTCGAAAACCCGATCCGAAACCCGACCCGACTTTTTGCTCAACCCGAAACCCGATCCGAGAAAAATTTTGGAAACCCGACCCGAAACCCGACCCGACATTTTTCTCAACCCGTGACATCCCTGATATAGATTCTTCTCGAAATAAAAGTCAATTGAAAAATGCATTTAAATTAGGTAACTACCTTTAACCAAATTAACTTCCTCCAGCCTTTCATCATTTCCCTCTGCCTGCAATTCTTCCTCGTAAATCTCCATATTTGATTCATTGATCTCTTGACTGATTAAATATTTTTTTACAAATTAGATAAAAAGTCGGGTTCTTGTATTCTATCTTACTAAAAGCCCGTAAAATATATCCGTTAACAAAAATTGACTAAAATACAGTTAACTTTATTTTTAATTTACTTTATTACTCTCAATTTTCTCCTTTATTTAAAAAATTTTCCCAAAATTTAAAAAAATCCAAAATCCTTACTTGTAAATAATTTCCTCAATTTTCTTTGTAAAATTTTTTGCAACAAAAAAAGTTTGACTAGCTATTTCATCTGTCTCATTATAATAATCATAATAATCAATCATTGTCACGTTTTCATTGTCTATATCCGTGTATAAATTTTGACTTTCATTAATATTTTTGCTAGCAATTTTTTCAAAACTTCCTGTGATATTTTCTTTTTCCTTAAAAATAATAAAAGTATTCAATGAGTTATCAAGATCCGATCATAAAAAATACCTCTTTAGTTTTGTTAATTTTAGTTTGTGTTTTATTTTCATGCAATTTTGTTGTTGGCTTTTTAGTTGTAGTAATTGAAGCCTTAATTAAAGTTTGGTAATATTAAAAGTTATCTAAATTTTTTAAAAATAATTTTTTAATATTTGGAATTATTATAGACATAATCAAATTACTAATTTATTTTTGTTTTATCTCGTTAATACCTCCCCAAGTTTTTAAAATTTATTCAAATATGGAGTCAAATTAGACTATGGTTAATAATATATTTATGCCCGGATCTTTTTCGCCTTCTTGTTGCGATATTAACCGATTTTTAAATTAAATTCTCTTTGCAAAATCAAAGTTTTAACTCTATACTTAGTTTACCTACATTTAAACTCATTCTAACAGTTATATTCACCTTTCTATCAGATATTTTTGGTTTATTTAAAGTTTTATTCAAATTCATATTTCGGGTACCATTCATAATTTTAGACTATGGTTAATAATGAATTTATGCCCGTCTTTCCTCGCCTTCTTGTAGCGATAGTAAACCGATTTTTAAATTAAATTCTCTTAGCAAAATATAAGGTTTAACTCTATACTTAGTTTACATACATTTGAACTCATTCTAACAGTTGTATTCACCATTCTACCAGATTGTTGTGTTTTCTTTATAGTTTTATTTAAATTCATATTTTTGGTACCATTACTAATTTTATTATTAGCAATAATTGTTTTATTTTTTATTCGAGGTTGAATTGTATTTTTTGTAATATTATTAAATGCTTGTTTGTTAATAAAGGTTTTATTTGAAGTTTCGAAACTTTCTTTTGGCTTGTTTGTTGTATTAAATAACAGAATTTTTGTACGTTTTTGAGGTCTAAACTTTTTTATAGTTTTGGTGATATTTGTTTTTGTTGTTGTATTTTTCGTTGGTAAGATGCTTGTCTTCCCTTCCATCTCTGTTAAACAATTTAATACGTAAATTATTGTTAATTGAATTAATATCAACGAATAAAAATTCATTTTACTTGAATAAATGATTTTTAAATATTTCCTAATTCTATATTTAACACTGCATATAAAATAAAAAAACTCAAATATTGGAACTAAACGCTTAAAATATTTAATAGTTATATAAACTATGAATCACATTATTAACTTTATTGTAAATATTTTTAATTAATTTAAATAAATTTCCAATTTTATTTCCTCTTTCTTGCTTACTAAATAACTAAAAATGGGCAGACTTACCTAAAACTTAAAAACAAATAACCTTAAAATAAAATAACTTTATTTCTATTTCTAGACTTAAATAAATTAATAAAAAATTAAGGCATGAATATTTTAAATATATTGGATTAAATGTCTGTAACTTTTATATTTCTGTCGAATGTTAGTCAAATTTTGTTTTTATGTTTTATATTTCAAAAAAAAACAAAATATCGCAAAAACTTCATCACAAAGCAAGAAACTGCCATTTATGGACTATCCCCTCACAAATGATCCATTAACAAAAACAGGGTTTTAATTAAATTTACTTTTAATTAAATAATAATTTAATTAATTAAGTGTTTAACTCTCAAACTATTAGGATATTGATAGTAATGTAAGGGGTAAATTGTGAGTTTGAAAATGGGATTGGAAAATCCTCATGGCAGTAAGAATCTTAATAATTTCTAATGTAAAACTTTTACAATTTCTATTTTAATTTAAAAATATATATTAATTATTGAATTTAATTTTTTTTTCAGTCAATATCACTCATGAGTTGTCCACGCATTTAAATTTATTTATTGCCTGTTATATTGATTTAAATTTAGCTTTGTCGACGAGGCTAATTAACGTTAATAAAATTATTTATTTTAAATTTAATTTAAATAAATATAATATAGAAATTCACTTTTAAAGCTTTATTTTATGTAATTCAGCTTTATATTCGGGAAAGGCAGATTATTTAGTTTCTCAATTTGTTTATGCATAACCTTTTTAAAAGTTTATGAAAATTGAAACATTATGAAATTTATAAAAACATAAAGAAGTTTAAATGAGTTTTTAATCAAAATGACTAATTAAATCTTCGAATTATCGCCGTTGTCCAGATATCTGATTCGGATATCAATAGAGTTCCCGGAATCCCTAACCTTAATTAAGTAAACAAAAATCTAAATATTATACAATAGATATATTTAAAGTAAATCATTATATTTGGCTGGTTTACTAGAAACGGCAGTTCAACTTGAGCGCGACGCTTTATTTTCCGATTCTCTCTCATAGGGAAGCTTTATTGTTTTGGCCTTTCTAATAGATACGGGGTCTCAAAACGGTCTTGCTATTATTTGATACCATAAAATTGTTTAAATGTTAAAGATTTTTGTTTATGCTGAGGCGTTCTAGCATGAAAACAAAATTGACGCCGAACCTGCCCCTCATTGCATAAGACAATAATTTCATATTTTTTAATCATAAACAAATCCTTGTAAATATTTTGAAAACCATTTTGAAATCGCCTAGTCGATTCTTTTTCTTAATAATTAAGAAATCTAATATTAGTTTGTTTATTTTATTATTAATAAAGAGCGTTATCCTCCATTCAAAAGCATGCACTTTGTCATTTTTCTAAATTTATCAGCCCCTTAATTTTAAAAATAAATAAAAATATATGTATGTACATTGTCTAATTTTTTTAACTTTAAAATATTTTTTATATTAATTTGAAAATAAGAACAGATTTTTAAATTTATGTCGTGCCATTTCACTTTTTCAGTGCCACTTCTTACTAGAAATCGGACCAAACAAATATTTGGTCAAATAAAATCAAATATTTGTTCAAATTTTAGTTGATCAAATATTTGACTTTTTTGATCTAATTTTTCCAAATATCAAATATTTTCAAATTATTTGATCAAATATTTGATTTTGCCGTTTATCCGATCTTTAATTCTCATTTCACATTATTTCTTCACTTCTTTTTTTTCGAAATTTTGAAAATTTATAATGCTAAAGGAGCCAGTTTTTTGCTCCACAAACTAAAATTTTTAGAAATTTAAAAAGCCAATAAGCCACAATCCCTTATTTAAAAAATATAAACAATTTTAAAAACACAATTTTATACGCGAAATTTTTTTTAACATTTCCAACTTTTATCCGCTAATTAATTAATATTAAAATAGTAAACAAATAAAATGAAGATATAAGCCAGTAAAACATATTAAAAATGTATTTTGTTATATTAAAATTGATATTTTTATATTTATATGATTATGTTGAAGGCATGCAAGGAGATCATAATTACATTGAGCCATCTACGAAACGACATAAAATAACCGATATATCTGTCAATAAAAAACCAGGTATTTTATTCAAAAATTAAGGGGGAGATCGAGGAATTAGAGATGATATAAGGGGGGTTTTAGGGATTAAATGGGATTTCAATGCATTAAGTTGTAGATCTGAGGATATAAGGGGATTTGGAGGAATTAAGAGGATTTGTAGGGATAAACTTTGGTTTCATGGGATATCGGGTCGGGGTACAACTCTAGTATTAACTTTAAATAATACTGGGTTGGCTAACTTTGATTAATATAAATCCTTCGATAATCTTAACAAAATTTCGCATAAAAGATTAGGTAATGTTACAGGTTAGATTCTAGGGCGGTAGGTATAATTTTATGAACGATAGAAAAATAATATTTAGATTTATAAACATATTAAGTTTTAACGGTAAATGTCCAGAAAATCTCGCGTAAGATTGTTCTCATAAAATTTTTTGCGTAATAGACAGGGATTTAAGGTATCGGTGGAAATATTTAAATATTTAAGTTTTAACATTGGACGAAGCATCAAACATAATCAAAACAATTTATGAATTAAGTGAATATACAAATTTCAAGGCATTAATTGATCGAGATTTTATTGTTGGTTATTATGAAAAATGGCATGAAAGAGAATTAAAAAATAAATTTGAAGGAATAAATTTTAAAACACTCAATCCGAATGAACAAAATATATTGCGCGAGTTAAGTATTTATTTAATTATCACTAAAATAAAATTACAGTATGTATGTTTCTCAGAATAACATAGATTTTGTCTCAATCCGATTTCCAATTCAAATCACATGAAATCTAAATATGAATGTGCTCGGAGAATTCTGAGTCATTATTAATCAGTAGAGTTGTGATTTTTATGCAAATGCATATTTTTTTGCAAACTTGTCTTGATGTATAATGCACAAAAAACACTGTTTCCGCATGTTTTGAAAACTTTAGAGGGGGTTTCTATTTGCATATAATGCATATTTTTGCATATTCCGGACTTTGTTGCATAATGCATATTTTACTGCATATTTTGAGGTTTTTAGGGAAAATATTGCGAAAATTGCACAAAATCCTGCCAAAAAGTGAAAATTTAGTAAAAATTTAGGAAAAATTTGTAAAAATTACAAATTTTGTAAAAAAATGTCCAGGACCCATAATGTCTCAACCCAAAAATGTACCACCCCAAAATGTCAGACCGCCAAAACGTCACATCTTAAAATGTCCAACAACGTAAAAATACTCAGACTATACATTTAAAATGGGAGTAATCTTTATTAAATAGGTTTTTGAATGTTTTTGACTAAAAAATGAGAAATTTCTAGGTATAATTTGTATTTTTCTTGCATATTTGCATGTATATTTTGGTTTTCTTGCATATTTTCGTGCATATTTTGGTATTTTTATGTGCATATTATAGTGCATATTTTCCATTTTTAATGCATAAAATTCACAACTCTATTAATCAGACGGATTAGTTCCTTATTTTTTGTGACCAATATTAATTATGGTTGGCGAATCCTGATAATTATCCTTATATCTGATTCGTTTCCGGCCAGCAGAAGGACTTTTCGGACACTGAGACAAATACATTCATTATTACTTATAATTGTCGCAAAAACAAATAAAATTAAATGTTTTTGCTAAAAAATAAATAAATTTTAATATTTTCTTTAAATTTATTTATTTAAGTTTTCTTTTGTTTATTCCAATGAATAAACAATTTTTTCTATTTTTAATCTTTTTACTCTTTTCTTTTCAATTCAAAATCAATTTCTTTAAAAATCAAATTTATTTCAACATTTAAAATATTACACAATATTTTAAAAGAATCAGGAAGTTAAAACTTAACTTTCCTTCTATTTAAAGAGTTTTACAAACAATATACTTTATTCAAATCTTTTTACACAATCTAAACTTTATCAACTAAATTCTAGAAATTCTCTAGAAAACTCAAATTTAATTCAACTTGAAACACAATGAATTCTCAGTCAAAGAACTCTAAACTTAGAAGACTTAAATCAAACTCTTTAAGTTCTAAGTTCAACTCTTTATTTTAAACAAAACAAAAGTCTAAAAGTTAAACAACTTTTATTCAACAAAATCTATTACAATTAGAAAAGCTCGAGAGAATCTTTACACAAAGATAACTCTTAATCTGAGAGAATCTAGAAAAACTCTGATTATTTCCCTAAATCCTAAAGTTCTTATAGGGAAAAAAGTGGGAGGGATTTTACATAAAAATAACAAAAATTTACAAAGTGCAATGAATAATGGGAAAAGAATTTGGAAGAAGAGGCGTATTTGATTACGCATGATAAAAATAGAAATAAAAAATATAAAAATATTTTTAACAAAAGGGACAAGGGACAAAAATTATAATAGACAAGTCGCATTTCGCGACACTCGGGAGCGCGAGAAAAACAAAACAAAATAGATGAAAGGATTAAAATTTTTTTTCTTTGAAATATCCTCTTCATCATTATGTCCCTCGTTCTTGTTCTTCCAAATTCATCATTGGACATTATCAGTTGAAGCATCCATTTGCACAGCTTCTTGTAGCATAAGTAGCAAGCATGCATGAACCAATACACAAGTTAGAGATGAATATATTTCTATTTGTTTCTTTTCATTTTTCAGAGATATACTGTTAATACATTCTTTAAACAATTTATCACTTTGTTTTAACATTTTAACTTGTATATCCTTTTCAACTTTTAAACAATCAAATCTTTTCAATTTATCTCTATATTCTGTTAAATTCAAATTTAATTCATGTATTTCTAGTTTACTTCTTTCACAATTCGGAATTATTACAAATCTACTATTATCAAATTCAAGAATTTGAAAATTTAATTCTTTTAAATCCACAGTTTGTCTTAAACATTTTAATTTATAAATTAAATCAACGAAACTGAGTATTATAAATATTTTACAAGAAACGACTAATATTTTAACTATATTCAAAAAATACTTTATCAAATCTTTATTTTTTCCTTTACATTTATTAAATCTTTGCAATTTCTTTTTTAATCTATCTTCATAATTTCTATTACTTTGTTTTACTGACGGAATTAATGATTTCTGGACTGTTTTATCCTTTTCTCCTTTATTTACATTTTGAAAATCTAGACAGGATTTAACATCAGATTTATTCGACATCTCTTCAAAAGAGTGAACAACTACATGAGTTTGGACTAGCATTGTCCTTTTCAATTTTCTCTGATTTTCACCACAGAGAACATTTCCAATAGTAGTCTTTATCAAATAACATCCTTTTGAAATTTCAGTTTTTCCATTAAAAAATCTCCAAAAGTCTTTTATTCCTATCAACAAGTCTGGTTTTACACAATTATTAGTTAAATTATGCTTTATCTCATTAATCTTTACATTAGATTTATTTTCATTTATACTAACAGATTGTAATTCATTGGAAATTTTATCAACACTTAATATCTCAATAATTTCTCTTTTTCCATCTATTCTTTCGATTCCAATTGAGTATTTCCCAGTTCGTTGTTTCTTGGACTTATTTCCTTGAAACGACGATACTTGTAGAAAACCTTCACCTCGTTTTGTCAGATTTAATTTCTTAACTAATTCATCAGTAATATAGTTAACTTCACTTCCAGTATCCAGAAATATGGAAACACTAATTTTCTTATTTTTATTCCTTGGTGAAAAAACTTTAGTTTTCAAAATCATTAAATTCGGTGACGATTTATTTAACAAGGAAGTACATGTATTTACTGATAAATTCTGCGTTTCTAAAACTTTATTTTCAACTTTAGGTTCTTCAACCTTTTTACTTACAAATTTACAATCTGAGCTTTTCTTTTTCCAACTTTGGAATTTCCGGTTTTTATAATTTATTTTAACATTATTAGGTCCATAGGTTAAGAAACACTTTGTCCTTTTATGACAAATGGCAGTATTATGAGGTCCTTGGCAATAGAAACAATATTTTTTACTAAAACATTTTCTCGATATATGACCTCTTGCACAACAACGAAAACATCTTCGCTGTTCAAATAAACGCTTCTTGCGTTCCTCCAAACCTGCAACATATTTACAAGTATTGGACCAATGATTTCCATTACAAAAATAACAAATAATATTTCGTCTACTTATAGTCAGAGGAAAAGATCTAGTCTGATTAACTACATTAATTTCGTCATTATTCTCAGATTTTGTATCTTCATCATTTCTTTCATATTTTCGATTCTTTTCCCCTTTTAGACTTGACTGACTATCAGTTTGTGAAATATTAAAGTGTTTACTCGATTGGTAAACTGATTCTCTTATATTTACTATTCCAACTAGAGCTTTTCTTAATTCATTAGTATTCCATTTTTTACTTGAAGCTTTTTCTTCTTTAGCATTTTCCATTAAAATATTTCTATTAAGCTTTGACTTTATCAACGAAGTCATAATCGAATTATTTGTATTTTCTCCTAAACTTTCTAATTGTCGAAATATTTTTTCAATTTTATCGACTGTATTTTTCAACAAAATTGCCTTTTCTGTACAAACGGGTAATTGAAATAATTCAGACTCTAAAGCTTCAATCAGAATATTTTAATCGCCAAATCTTTCCTTTATTATTTTAACTGCAATTTCGTAATTTTCGTTCGTTAACATTAAATCTGAGATAGCATCTTTTGCTTCTCCTTTTAAACAATTAAGCAAAAATTTCATTTTATCTATTTTACTAAAATTCTGCTTATCAATTGAACATTCAAAACTTTGCCAAAATGAAGTCCAATAATGTGGATCTCCATGAAATTCAGGCAATTCAAGTCTAGGCAATTGAACAGTTAACTCTCTTGTTTCTACATTGTTTATCTGTGTTACTACAGAATTATTTTCAGAAGTATCTGGATTTCTCTGAAGAACTAGTTCATCGATCGAATCAACAATTTCTCTTCCTTTATCGATCCATTCATAAAAATGTTTATTTTCAAAATTATAATTTTCGTATGTCTTTGTTTCTTTTTTCTTTCATCACTATCTAAACCATTTATAAAATCTAACCAAAGTTGATTTTTCTCATCTAAAGTTTTTAAAATTTTTACAATAAATTTTCCATCACATTTAACTGTTTCTTTTTCGTCATCATCAATTTCATCATTACTAATAATTCTTTCAACATTTTCTATTTTAATTCTTAAGCGCTTTAATATAGCACCTATCATAGTTTTATATGGTCCAGACATTTTAATTCAACTTTGGGTTTATACAAATTCAATTTCGATTTAATTCAGACTTTTTAAATTAAATCAGATTCAATTACAATTACTTTAAACAATTTAACTTTATTTGAAGCAATTCACAATTTTCTACAATGTTTAAATTCTTTTTTTGTACGGGGCTCCACTTGTCGCAAAAACAAATAAAATTAAATGTTTTTGCTAAAAAATAAATAAATTTTAATATTTTCTTTAAATTTATTTATTTAAGTTTTCTTTTGTTTATTCCAATGAATAAACAATTTTTTCTATTTTTAATCTTTTTACTCTTTTCTTTTCAATTCAAAATCAATTTCTTTAAAAATCAAATTTATTTCAACATTTAAAATATTACACAATATTTTAAAAGAATCAGGAAGTTAAAACTTAACTTTCCTTCTATTTAAAGAGTTTTACAAACAATATACTTTATTCAAATCTTTTTACACAATCTAAACTTTATCAACTAAATTCTAGAAATCTCTAGAAAACTCAAATTTAATTCAACTTGAAACACAATGAATTCTCAGTCAAAGAACTCTAAACTTAGAAGACTTAAATCAAACTCTTTAAGTTCTAAGTTCAACTCTTTATTTTAAACAAAACAAAAGTCTAAAAGTTAAACAACTTTTATTCAACAAAATCTATTACAATTAGAAAAGCTCGAGAGAATCTTTACACAAAGATAACTCTTAATCTGAGAGAATCTAGAAAAACTCTGATTATTTCCCTAAATCCTAAAGTTCTTATAGGGAAAAAAGTGGGAGGGATTTTACATAAAAATAACAAAAATTTACAAAGTGCAATGAATAATGGGAAAAGAATTTGGAAGAAGAGGCGTATTTGATTACGCATGATAAAAATAGAAATAAAAAATATAAAAATATTTTTAACAAAAGGGACAAAAGGGTAAAAAATTATAATAGACAAGTCGCATTTCGCGACACTCGGGAGCGCGAGAAAAACAAAACAAAATAGATGAAAGGATTAAAATTTTTTTTCTTTGAAATATCCTCTTCATCATTATGTCCCTCGTTCTTGTTCTTCCAAATTCATCATTGGACATTATCAGTTGAAGCATCCATTTGCACAGCTTCTTGTAGCATAAGTAGCAAGCATGCATGAACCAATACACAAGTTAGAGATGAATATATTTCTATTTGTTTCTTTTCATTTTTCAGAGATATACTGTTAATACATTCTTTAAACAATTTATCACTTTGTTTTAACATTTTAACTTGTATATCCTTTTCAACTTTTAAATAATCAAATCTTTTCAATTTATCTCTATATTCTGTTAAATTCAAATTTAATTCATGTATTTCTAGTTTACTTCTTTCACAATTCGGAATTATTACAAATCTACTATTATCAAATTCAAGAATTTGAAAATTTAATTCTTTTAAATCCACAGTTTCTCTTAAACATTTTAATTTATAAATTAAATCAACGAAACTGAGTATTATAAATATTTTACAAGAAACGACTAATATTTTAACTATATTCAAAAAATACTTTATCAAATCTTTATTTTTTCCTTTACATTTATTAAATCTTTGCAATTTCTTTTTTAATCTATCTTCATAATTTCTATTACTTTGTTTTACTGACGGAATTAATGATTTCTGGACTGTTTTATCCTTTTCTCCTTTATTTACATTTTGAAAATCTAGACAGGATTTAACATCAGATTTATTCGACATCTCTTCAAAAGAGTGAACAACTACATGAGTTTGGACTAGCATTGTCCTTTTCAATTTTCTCTGATTTTCACCACAGAGAACATTTCCAATAGTAGTCTTTATCAAATAACATCCTTTTGAAATTTCAGTTTTTCCATTAAAAAATCTCCAAAAGTCTTTTATTCCTATCAACAAGTCTGGTTTTACACAATTATTAGTTAAATTATGCTTTATCTCATTAATCTTTACATTAGATTTATTTTCATTTATACTAACAGATTGTAATTCATTGGAAATTTTATCAACACTTAATATCTCAATAATTTCTCTTTTTCCATCTATTCTTTCGATTCCAATTGAGTATTTCCCAGTTCGTTGTTTCTTGGACTTATTTCCTTGAAACGACGATACTTGTAGAAAACCTTCACCTCGTTTTGTCAGATTTAATTTCTTAACTAATTCATCAGTAATATAGTTAACTTCACTTCCAGTATCCAGAAATATGGAAACACTAATTTTCTTATTTTTATTCCTTGGTGAAAAAACTTTAGTTTTCAAAATCATTAAATTCGGTGACGATTTATTTAACAAGGAAGTACATGTATTTACTGATAAATTCTGCGTTTCTAAAACTTTATTTTCAACTTTAGGTTCTTCAACCTTTTTACTTACAAATTTACAATCTGAGCTTTTCTTTTTCCAACTTTGGAATTTCCGGTTTTTATAATTTATTTTAACATTATTAGGTCCATAGGTTAAGAAACACTTTGTCCTTTTATGACAAATGGCAGTATTATGAGGTCCTTGGCAATAGAAACAATATTTTTTACTAAAACATTTTCTCGATATATGACCTCTTGCACAACAACGAAAACATCTTCGCTGTTCAAATAAACGCTTCTTGCGTTCCTCCAAACCTGCAACATATTTACAAGTATTGGACCAATGATTTCCATTACAAAAATAACAAATAATATTTCGTCTACTTATAGTCAGAGGAAAAGATCTAGGTATAATTTGTATTTTTCTTGCATATTTGCATGTATATTTTGGTTTTCTTGCATATTTTCGTGCATATTTTGGTATTTTTATGTGCATATTATAGTGCATATTTTCCATTTTTAATGCATAAAATTCACAACTCTATTAATCAGACGGATTAGTTCCTTTTTTTTGTGACCAATATTAATTATGGTTGGCGAATCCTGATAATTATCCTTATATCTGATTCGTTTCCGGCCAGCAGAAGGACTTTTCGGACACTGAGACAAATACATTCATTATTACTTATAATTGTCGCAAAAACAAATAAAATTAAATGTTTTTGCTAAAAAATAAATAAATTTTAATATTTTCTTTAAATTTATTTATTTAAGTTTTCTTTTGTTTATTCCAATGAATAAACAATTTTTTCTATTTTTAATCTTTTTACTCTTTTCTTTTCAATTCAAAATCAATTTCTTTAAAAATCAAATTTATTTCAACATTTAAAATATTACACAATATTTTAAAAGAATCAGGAAGTTAAAACTTAACTTTCCTTCTATTTAAAGAGTTTTACAAACAATATACTTTATTCAAATCTTTTTACACAATCTAAACTTTATCAACTAAATTCTAGAAATTCTCTAGAAAACTCAAATTTAATTCAACTTGAAACACAATGAATTCTCAGTCAAAGAACTCTAAACTTAGAAGACTTAAATCAAACTCTTTAAGTTCTAAGTTCAACTCTTTATTTTAAACAAAACAAAAGTCTAAAAGTTAAACAACTTTTATTCAACAAAATCTATTACAATTAGAAAAGCTCGAGAGAATCTTTACACAAAGATAACTCTTAATCTGAGAGAATCTAGAAAAACTCTGATTATTTCCCTAAATCCTAAAGTTCTTATAGGGAAAAAAGTGGGAGGGATTTTACATAAAAATAACAAAAATTTACAAAGTGCAATGAATAATGGGAAAAGAATTTGGAAGAAGAGGCGTATTTGATTACGCATGATAAAAATAGAAATAAAAAATATAAAAATATTTTTAACAAAAGGGACAAAGGACAAAAGGGTAAAAAATTATAATAGACAAGTCGCATTTCGCGACAATAATTTATCAGCTATATTTATTAGGTTATATGTATTATAATAAAATACGCAATTTTTTTAATACGCAGTTTATCTAAAAAATAGCTATTTTAGACCCATACGAATAAAACATTCAATAGTTTCTCATTTTTGCAATCAAAAGGTATGTTCATTCATTCATCTATTTTGAACAAAGGAAAAGCGAATTGGGTCAATGAAGATTTGAATAAAAACTTTTTAAATTTGGAAGGATTTATGAATGAATTTTTTACATTGATATTCGGTGCTAGTGTAAATGAGAATTTGGTTAGTTTAAAAGATTTATTTGTATTAATTTCTATTTTAAAAACGTAGAAGCAGAAGATATTATTTTCAAATTTGCCGGAATATATTGATGAACAATGCAATGTGGATCTAGCAAGAAAATTCAATTCAAACTGGTCTTTGGGTGAGGGAGAGCATGCTTTGTGTATTTTATCTCGTCTTTTTATGTTTGCAACAACGTTGGAAGAGAAATTATATGAATATAAGATAAAGGTAGACATAATTATATTTATCTAAGTGGTCTCTAAAGTTCAGATCTTATATATAAAAATCAAATGAGTTATGATATGTACCTACATTGGAAAATTTTTTTAAATCAAAATAAATTTATAAATTTTAAAGGCTATATCAAAAGTAAAAGGTCAACATGAAGGACAATCTGATAGAAAATCTATCCTCAACGATTTTATAGAAAAAGCTCGAGGAGTATGGTTACAAGAAGCTTCTATTAATATTTTGGAAAATTTGGGTCCAGATAATGAAGTCACAATGCTTAAAAATAGAAAAATGAAAGAAAAGTATTTAAATAAAGGATTGTTTTCAACTGAAACTGCTAAACAAAAGGCCGAGCTTTTGGGCGCTGAATTTATTGGTTTATTTGATATTCAATTTGGGGATATTGATGTAAAACTATATGATCAACAACAACATTTTCAACCTTATGAAATTAAGGATGTTTCTTTAATTAAGCAGGAACACAATTTGGCAAAAGAAATACAATTTTCGCCTGCACTATCCGATAAAACTCAGAGTAGCATCGCAAATCTACCTTATGATAATTTACCAGGCAAATAATAAACTTATATGTATTATTTATTGGGTTTGCGGAGCGTTAAGTATTAAGTATAATAATCAAGCATGATTCTCCTTATATATAAGGAGTCTTCAGATAGTACGATTATCTAGGATCCTTTCCTACAATAGAAATACTCCGTTACTTTAATAGAACGAAGCATATCCACGTAAATGCCTATAGTGAATCCCAGTCTTATTTATCATATTGTTTTAACTTATAGCTCTATTTTTATTTCATTACGCGATAAAGTAACTCGGTAGGGATAATCGTCACATGGTAGTAAACTCCAGAATTTTAACAGAAATAATTAAATTAAGGCACAGGATTAGAATTAGTGATATAACAATTGTATAAAGGATTCTTTGAAAATAAAAATTTTTAATCTTTATATAAAATATATTAAGTTTTATCATTGGATGAAGTATCAAATATTATCAAAACAATCTATGAATTTAATAACTACACAAATTTTGAGGCATTAGTTAAGTCTGATTTTATTGTTGGTTATTATGAAAAATGGTATGAAAGAGAATTAAAAAATAAATTTAAAGATGAAATCAATTTTAAAAAACTTCAATTGGACGAACAAAATTTATTGCGCGAGTTAAGTATTTATCTATTGGTTTCTAAGTATATTGCTTTCTAAGTACCTTTTACCTAGATAATCAAATATGTAATAAACTTATTTTAGACTCGTACAAATAAAACTTTCGATAGCTTCTCATTTTTAAAATCAAATGGAAGTTTTGTTAACTATTCCCGAGAAGGAAAAGAAAAAATTGACTTTAACAAAGATAATTTTACTGAAAATATTTTTAAACATTTCAAAGATTTTGATAAGTTAATCTTATCAAATTTGCCCAAAATAATTGATGAACAATGCAAAATTGTATCATTTAATAATGGTCAAAGTGAATTGTCATTAGGTGAAAAAGAACATGCATTGTGTATTTTAAGCCGACTTTTTATTTTTGCTAATTCATTGGAAGAAAAATTGAGCAAATTTAAATCTAAGGTATATTTTGAATAATTAAGCCGATATTAATCAAGGGATACTTTAAATAATGAGGAAATTCTGATGTATATTTCCTCATTATTTATTTGCTTAGGGGTCTAATTAAATTATTTTTAAGTAAAAATAAATATTTAATTTAAAGGAAGGAAAATCTTCAACATCAATTCATCATGAAGGGCAATCTGATAGAAAGTCTATCCTCAACGATTTTATAGAAAAAGCTCGTGGAGTATGGTTACAAGAAGCTTCTATTAATATTTTGGAAACTTTGGGTCCAAATAATGAAATCGCAATGCTTAAAAATAGAAAAATGAAAGAAAAATATTTAAGTAAAGGATTGTTTTCAACTGAAACTGCTAAACAAAAAGCTGAGCTTTTGGGCGCTGAATTTATTAGTTTATTTGATATTCAATTTGGGGATATTAATGTAAATGTGGAAAATCAGATAGATTTGAATGATTTGGACTTTGATTTTAGCGATACATCAGGCATTGATTTTAATTTGTTTCAAGATTTAATCTAATTGATTTACAAACAAAATTATTTTTTAAGCGTATCCAACTAAATATTATATTTTTACTCCAAAATTATTTTAAAAAATTTTTGTTTGAAAACCACATCGGTAAAGCTAAAGCGAGGTCAAATTAACAATCCGAAGCGAAAATCTCCGGATTTTGGTTATGTTTGAAAGCGATTACTCGACTCTTGTATACTATTTCGCAATTTTTATATACATTCAAGTTTATTTTGCTAAATATTCATGCAAAACACAATATTAATTAGAGCCTTGACTGGGAGGATAGCACAAGAATCGAGATCTTGAAAAATCTAGATCTCCATAACCGAGATTTTTCGTGTTAGTCCGGGCTCTAAGATTAATATTGTTCATTTCTCTTGATTTAAATTGTCTATAAAACATTTGTATAAACACTTTGATAATTCTTTAGTTGCATTAATTTTATTAACATAACTGCATAGAAAAAAATTTTAAAATTTTCAAAAGTTTAAAATAAGAATAATCATTATTGAAGTACATATATAGAATTGAGCTATTAAACATGTTGTGAGTAACTTCATTATAAAATCACATGCATTTCACTGAAAATGTTTATCAGAATTTGCACTTTCCTTTACATCGCCCTTTAATTTAAAATTAATTTTCTTTAATAAATTTTGCCGACAAAACATGTTGGCAGAATAATATTTTAAAAGGATGGCCCGGCATTTTGCCCTTTATTTAAGTCTAATCATGTGAAAATGATATTAAAATAAATTTTTATTTACATTATTTTTATAAATTAAATTAAAAATAAAATTTTAAATAAATCTTTAATTGACAAATAAATGAAATAAAAATTTTCAAAAATATTAATTTTATTTCAGGGCAATGATCTTTATTTTATTATTTCGATTAATTCTCTTAAATATTCTCATTCAAAATAATATTTTTTATTGCGTAAATGAAAATATTGGAAATAATTTTTCTGATGGTCATCATATACAAAATGAGCAAACTCAAAATGTTGGGCAAAATTCAAGTATAAATCCATCTATGATGCCTGAATCGTCACAAATTAATGCACAAATGTCGGATCCAAAAAGAAGTTAAATACTACACTTTCTTAATAATATTTTAAATTTCCATCGAATTTTCAAACGGCTTTTGGCAAAAGTGCTAGTCTGCTCCAGAGGCAGCTCCATCAGAGCCCGAGCTAAAATTTTGAAATGTCATTTTATCATTATACAAAAATTTCCCTAAATTGGTGCCAACTAAAATTCATCTATGATACTAAATGATGGGCTGATAATTTTTAAATTTCTAATCTTATTAATTAATTTAAGAGAGAAATAGAAAGAGAAAACAACGACCACCAACGACATTTATTACTGTTGATACTAAAGATTTCCAGAATCAAGTCAAGAATTGTAATAATTCTTTATTAAACATTAAATTGCTAAAAGAACAATTTGATTAAAAAAGAAAAATTTTCTAGAGATAACTTGATATTAAAAGCTACAGTTTACTTAAGAAATATAATTTTAGTTTAATCTTTTTTTAAGCGCTTCAGTTAATTGAAGAACTTTCTGAAATATAAAACTTAAGAGGGAAAGTAGGCGTTGAATATTTTAGGATTACCTATATCAATTGAATCCACATATTTTAAAATATTACAATTAGATATATAATTTTCGCTGAATTTTTAACTTAAAAGATACCGGCTTGCCTGTTGAACAAATGCATTTACCAAACTATTTTCAACATAGCTATCGACAAAATCAGTTTGAGCAGAAACAAATTCTGAACACGACAGGTTTTGTTAACCAATCATTTGCAAATGGAGGACCATCAAGTTCTTACAATGATCATCAATTTGAGCAAAATATTTACCATGATAATCACAGAGCAAATATTGATGGAATATATAACATTCATGGTTGTTTTATTTATTAAATATAAATTCTTAAACATATTACAAATTCTTTAAACATAGTTGACCCGGACCTTGTCTCACTTGACCCATCTTTGGATAAATTCCTAGCAATTTAAAGGAGTTGAGAAAAAAATTAAAGAAATCACTAAATGACATGTAGATCAAATTTAAAATAGGTCTACAAAATAACTTTGCTACTAACCCAAAAGAATTAGAGAATCTTCCGCATCGAAATTCAACCCGTAAATTTGATGAAGTGAATAGATCTTCAAATTTGGAAAGTCAACAAATCCAAAATAATAATGAAAATTTGCATAATTTTGGGCATCCTTCTATTGTTCCCAAACACAGCCAAGAATTTATCGGAGAACATAGTAACAGCTTTAATAATTTAGTTCTAGAAGAGTCAACTATGGAAAATCAAACAAAAAATACGCATGGAGAGCAAGTAGATCTAATTGAACAAAACCATAATAGCGTGAATACCTTTGTGAGTGAAACAAAAAACGAATTTGCAAGGCAAAAGGCAATTGTAAAGGAGACAATGCAAGTTATTCGAAATGATTGTGAGAGTCAAAAAGAGTTTCTTGAATTTTTTAAGAATCATAATAAAGCTTTGGAACAGATAAAGAATGGATTTGAATCTAAGCAACATTTAATAAATTATTCTAAAAATTTTGGAAATAATGGAGGAATAAAACTAAATGACCAAAATAATATGAATCTGCATAATTATGGAAATTCTTATGTTCTTGACCAACATATGCGAGAATTTATGGCAGGAAGTAGTAACCACCTTAATCATTTAACCACAACTGAGTTGCAAAAGGAAAATTATTTAGAAAATAATAAACAACAAAATTTAAAGGATTTTCAAGATTTGGACAAAATTCATCAACTTCTTTTAATGCAAAATTTAAAAAATAAACAATTAGTTCAAAATACACCAAACAATCTGCAACACAGTTTCAAACCTAATAACCCATCTGGAAAAACATTATTTGAAATGATGAATGAAAATGCCCAAAGTAACCCAAAATTTATTCCTTCTGTGTCCCAAAATTCTCAAGAAAAATACAATTCAAACATGACATTAAATCAACAGAATGGTTTTTTCACAGAAAATTCAAACACATCAATGAATCAAAACTTGGGAAAAATGTTACTGGAAGAACATGAAAGTCAGGTTTTTGGCTAATTTTAAATTTAATTTCTTTCAAAATTTTTAAAGCAATTCACTGGAACTTTAGGTAAATTTAATATTTTCATTAATTAAAATTTTCTATTTAATCTGATTTTAAGACGACGTTGTGAACGGAAGCAAAAGAGTCATGGATTAAGGCAGAGGATATAGAATATAAATAAAATTTATTGAAAAGGAAAATTATAATAGAAGTTCAAATCAATTTTCAATTATATAATTCTGTTTATTCTTTATAGGGTTTACAAGTAAATTAAGATTAAACAATATTTGTTTCGAAATCTTTGAAAAAAATTTTATTTTTGAATTTTATTTTTAAGTGTCTTTTTGACTACACTATACTGTTTAAATGAAATTATTTTTGCTTAATTTTGCATATTATCCACGGCATTAACAGTTGACGGAGTCACAGAATTATTGAATATACGTTTGAAAAAAGATTTAATTAAAGCAAATTCCTTTAAATAAGCCTCTCTGTAGTCAGTACTATTAATTTAATTTCTAAATTATTTTATGTAAACTCATAAGATTTACCTATTAATAAAAAGTATTGGTGCATTTGAAGCCGAACCAAAACAGTATATAATTGTAGAATATGATAATATAAACCAAATTTCCTCATTTATGCCGCTTTCTATTGAAAATCCAACTACACTCTGTCCCAAAATTATACATCCACCTATATTTTTGGCATAAGTCCGTAAGTTGTTAACGGATTTGAATGAAAATTTAAAAGATAATGCAGAAAGACATTTTGAAAGTATATATAAAATTTGAAAAAATTCTAATTATGCACTCAATATTTACAACTATTTATTTGTAAAATAGGTGTCCCATAAATATACATCCACCTTCCAAAAAAGTTATTTCCGATTATAGGAAAAATCTACAAAAATTCCAGTAAACTTACACATTGATATTATAAAAAAGTAAAAAGAAAGTAGGTCAATATCTTAACCCGAAGCCGAGATCCTGAGACCTCGAAAATCAACGTAAAACAGGGGTTTTCAAATTCAAAAAATATTTTCGACCCCTTATGGATTACTGTAAATTTTGATTTCGGGCTCATTCGAAAGCCCTTATAATTTGCTACAAAATAGCAACAATCTTATTTTCCAGAAAAATTTTTAATGAGAGAAGCAGGCATTTAAACTTTTTATGCAGAAAAAAGCGCCTAAATGCCCCATAAAATTAGCGTCGGGAAATTAACGACCTACATCTGTCTATCAAATTTTTTCTCAAATACTAGATCAAATTTATCTTATAGTAAATTTTAATGGCTTTCGAATGAGCCTAAAATGAGAATTTAAAAACAACCATAAGGGGTCGAAAATATTTTTTGAATTTGAAAACCCCTGTTTTACGTTGATTTTCGAGGTCTCAGGATCTCGGCTTCGGGTTAAGATATTGACCTACTTTCTTTTTACTTTTTTATAATATCAATGTGTAAGTTTACTGGAATTTTTGTAGATTTTTCCTATAATCGGAAATAACTTTTTTGGAAGGTGGATGTATATTTATGGGACACCTATTTTACAAATAAATAGTTGTAAATATTGAGTGCATAATTAGAATTTTTTCAAATTTTATATATACTTTCAAAATGTCTTTCTGCATTATCTTTTAAATTTTCATTCAAATCCGTTAACAACTTACGGACTTATGCCAAAAATATAGGTGTATGTATAATTTTGGAACAGAGTGTAGTAGAATTGCTACGACAAAGAAAATAAGGAAAGTACAAATATTCACAAAAACAATAATATATAGAGATCGATAAAGCTTCTTAATTGTTGCATGATGCAAATCTAATAGAATTATATAGGGTTATATAGGGTTGATTATATAGGGTTATATAGGGTTGATTATATAGGGTTATATGGGGTTATA